GGAAATAGAGGGAAAAAATAGGAGGCAAATGCTATTTATAGAAGTATAGCTATAGGCATGTACATATGTAAATATATTAATTTATAATGAAAGGGATAGAGGCCAATGTACATATATTTATACATTAAGCATTAAGATAGCAGAAGGATTTTGGGCCTCTACTCAAAGCCTCCTTTCACACAAGAACACTTTGTTCTGATAACCTGGAGACTCACTTTCCTGACACGATTGCTTAAGACAAAAATGGGTACATAAGCAAATGTGGTGAAGAAAGCAGATGGTGCTCAGCTATCAAAAGATGTAGCATCTGGGGTCTTAAAGGGTTGAAGTTAAAAAAGCAGCCATCCAACAGGGAAACAAATAAGCCCACATGGAAGAAGCACACCAGCCTGTGTGATCATGGTGTCGACGGGATCAGGTATCAAAAGATCCAAAACAACTAAATTGATGAATGAGGGGGATTGGAGTGCAGACCCAAACTCCACCTGTAGACAATTGGATATCCCCTCACAGAACAGCTATAAAGAAGGGATGATTCAAGCAAGGTGTAGGATAGTGCCAACGAATCACACATCATTCTTCTAGTTCCTGCATGCTTCCCGCTCTCCCCCCCACTACCATGACCCAGTTTTATCTTACAAATCTGGCTAGACTGGAGAACACACATTGCTACAGATAGGAGCTCTCAACACATGGAATTCAGGACAGATAAAACTCTCAGGGACAGTAATGGGAGTAGAGAGATCATGAGGGTAGGGGGATGGTTGGGGGGAGAAAGGGGGAACCCAACACAAGGTTGAATACATAGCCCTTCCCCCCGCCCCGAAGGGGACAAATAACAGAAATGTTGGGTAAAGGGAGACAAACGAAAAGTGTAAGAAATGAAATAATAATAACAATATATAATTGATCAAGGATTCATGAGGGTGGGGGAAAAGAGGAGCTTATACCAAGGGCTCAAGTAGAAGATGTTTTAGAAATAATGATGGTAACATATGTACAAATATGTTTGATACATTTGATATATGAAATGTTATTAAGATTTAAAATGATTTGGGGAAAAAAGGTACTCTCTCTGAAATCAACAGGGACAGTTCTAGCCTGTCCTTACAGGGTCACCAAGAGTTGGAATCCATTTGATGACAGTAAGTTTTTTTTTAGTCTGGATCATTCCAGGGACCCCCAAGGGGTGTTATCATCTACTTTCAGAAACATAGCTAGAGCAATGTTTTCTACAGTGGGGTTACAGGCACTCAGCAGAGCAATAGAGTATTAAACGGGAGTTGTGGGGAAAAAACCTGTAGTACTTATGATGTGCCAGGAGCCCTGGAGGTGTAGTGGTTCTGTGTTACACCACTAATCATAAGGTCAGCAGTTCTAAACTACCTGTCACTTTGAGGGAGCAAAAAAAGGCTTTCTACCCTGTCCTACAGGAACGCCTTGAGTCAGCATCAACTCGGTGGCAGTGGGTTTGGGTTTCGTTTTTTGGATGTACAGTGATCAGCAAAAACAATGGCCATATTTCCAAGAACCTGTGACCATCACTGTCCACCTTGCCTCCCAAAATGCTGGGTCAGAATCAAAAGGGCAGCGTTGACAGGTGATCTGGCACAATCAGAGACACACACTGGTTCTGTTCTAGGACAAGGTTCGTTACCCTCTCAGAGGAGATGCCAGTGTGGGTATGTGGTTGTTCCTTTTCTTCCCCAAGGACTAGACGGAAAAGGCCTCGAGAGGCTCCAAGTAACAAAGCACACACGTCAGACGCAGCCACGAGATGGCCACCTGGGCGGATTTATCATGAAAAATCACTGACACACAAACAGAAGTCCATTAGGGTGGGCTCGCCATTAAGATCTCTCTGTGCGGTCACTGCGGCAGACAAGGAAGTCATCGGTATGTATTCCTGCACTGAGAAAGACGATGCAGCGTGTGCATGCAATCAAGAAAAGGAGCGTCGAAGGAAGGAAAGGGTCTAGTGGCATCACACGGTGGGCTGAAGCGGGTCTGAGTCGAGCCTACCTTTCTCTGACACCCTTTGCACCCTCTCGTCTCCCTACATCCTTTCTTCAGGGATGTTTCACATTCTAAACAGGTTACAGGCCTGACAGTGCTTCATCAGTGCTGCATGTTTTTTAGCCATTGAAGATTATGGTTACCCTCCGTCAAGCAAGTCTCTTCAATGCCATTTTGCCAACAGCGTGGGCTAAGTACATGTCCCTGTGTCACAACTTGATAAGCCTCGTAATATGATACCATTTCATAATGCTATTTGCATGTGCACAGTGTAAGCATAACTTTCATATGCATTGGGAAACCAGAAAAATATATGGCACTCACTCTAGTGTGTGACTCGCTTTATTGAAGGGAAGCCAGGATGAAAACTCACATCACCCCTAAGGATAGCTAGTCTGTCCAGTAACCAGCTGCCACCCTCCCTCCAAATGTCTGCTTTAAATGATATGCACCAACGTTGGTACAAAGTAGACATTTGCATGACCCTAAGTGAAAAAGTGTTGCTATCTGTTCATATATGTGCAAGTTTATTCATGTGTTGAAGCAAGAAACTGTGATCAGTGGATGGCTGCAGATTAGATCTCTCGGTAATATGTCTTAGTCTCATTAGGCTGCCTTTAAAGAAACAGATGAAAGGATACACATTTGTGCCCTGGAGGGAAAATGACTTTGAGGTCAGGCTAACATCAAATTCTTCACAAAACTCAAGGCGCTTCCCAAGTCATTGAAGCTTTGCCACAAGTTTATGGGAATGGCTGTCCTACATAAAACATGTGTTCGGATGGATACAGCATTTTAAGGATGTTTGGGATGACTTCAGGGAGCCCTTGTGGTAGTGGGTTAACAATGGGCCGCTAACCACAAAGTCAGCAGTTCAAAAGAGAAAGGTGAGCCTTTCTACTCCCTTGAAGATCTACAGTCTGGAAGCAGTTCTCCCCTTCAGACAGGGTCACTCTGAGTCTGAAGTGGTGCAACCACAGTGATTGTCTTTGTTTTTGAGGAGGGTGGAAAGACCTCAAAGATGAAATCAAGGCAAAAAGGCAACTCAAAAGGTCATGGTGACAGTTTTTGGAATTCCAAAGTGGTAAACTTGACACAAACCATAGGCACCTAGTATGGAATAATTTTAAGAAAACTGAAAACTGCATCGGGAGGAAAAGGCCAGGAAAATTGTCCTGAGGATTCCCCCCTGCCCCACTTCCCAGCACAATTCACTAGCTTGTTCTTCAAGGGTAGCAAGGACTGTCCTATGAGAAGTTCATTGGCAAGTCTTAACCCCCTTTATCCTACACCTGATTTTGCCTCTTTAGATTTCTTTTTGTTCCTCAAACTCAAAGAACATTTAAAAAGGAAGACTGTGGGTGTCTGGGGATGCCAAAATTACTGTTCTGATATGGTAAAAATCACAAGGTACAGAATTATTTGGAGAAGGGTTAAACAGATGGAAACACTGCGGTCAGACACCTATAGGCCTAGGCAGATGCTGCGTGGAGAAACAATAGCTTGACATTTTGACATCTTCATTTAATAAAGGTTCCTAATGATTGTGCAGCAGTATTTTCAGATTTAGATTCTCCCATTTCAAAGCTGAACCTGGCGTTTGACAGGTACTTGAACATGTGCAGTGCACCACATTGGATGGAAATAGGCATCTTAAGTTCAAATAAACCCCAAACTAACAAGAATAAAAGGGGAAAGATCAGCACCAATACAACTGGAGACGTCAGTGAGGAGCCTCCTGGGTCCATAGATTTTGTGCAGTCATCTTCACCAGACGGGCCTAGCGCATCACACACTGAGACTCCCATCAGGACAAAGAACAGAACTCATAGCATCGTTTTTCTTTTTTAAAAAAGGGGTCCACTTACAGGTACTACATGGACTGAAATGGGAGATTGAGTCTAAAGTGTGGAAGGCAGTTAAGGAGAGATATCGTTTTTTGCTGAGATTCAGCTCAAATTAAAGATGACCCCAAGTCTCCCGCCCCCGACTTCCTTCTATCTTTTCTCCTTCTAACCCCCGAATCAGGTAATGCTATGCTCTTTCTGTCAATTAAGCAAGTGCTGATCCAGGAAAACCTAGGCCACCTTGAGCCTTGGTTCCTCTAAAGCTCCAGGTAAGTTCCATCCTCTGAAGCCCCCTCTAACTGGGGACTTGTAAGCTTTACCTTTGTCCCTACTCCCTGGAGACAAACCGAACACGCTTGGGTTTCTATTGAACTCTGCTCCTTACAGCTTCGTTTTCAAACCTCAAGAGCTACCACTTTTCCCCAGGGCACTGCCCTGCACCTCCACGTGGGACGCCCCGGCCTCCTGCAAACGCTGCGAGGCGACCCCATTCTGTCGCTCGGCGCGCTCCTACCATCCCGGGCACCCCCTGGTCCCAGCTCGGGTGAGCTCCGTGGCGCGATGCGCACAAGCCCGGCCCCTTCAGTGGGTCCCGCGCGGCTCGCTCGCTCCCATTCATTCGGCCGCGCCGCTGTCATTGGCGCCATGACCTCTGCGCCCCGGCC